TTGCTCTGGGAATTTTGTTATTAAAAGTATATTATTTTATTTTTCCTAATAAATATATATATATATATTAATAATAATAAAAATAATTATAATTATTATTATTATTTCTAATATTATTGCCTTTATAGGATTCCCGATACTGCCAGCATCAGGGATAAAATGATTTACTCTTCTAGTAAAGTGGCTCTGAAGAAATCATTTGATGTAGCCTTTGAAATACAAGGAACTGATCCATCTGAAATTTCTTATGAAACTGTTCTTGAAAAAGCTCTACGTTCCAATTAATTAATTAATTAATTGACTGATAATGTATTTGTTTTTTGGTTATCAAAATCAAATAAATATATTTTATATTTTTATATTTTTATAATGAATGATACTGTTAGCTAGCATTTATTATTTTGTGTAATCAAAATATCACGTGCTCTCAAATGTAAATAAATAAGTTTTTTTTAAAAAAGCCTGTATTTATTTAAAAAAAAAAATGATTAATAAAGCAAAGATTACTAATAACAAACCTGGTGCCTCTCTTACGAGAAAGTATGTTTTATTTATTTTTTTGATCCCTTTTTAATAATAATAGAATAATAATGATTGAATCTTTTGATTTTTTAGATATCCAAGTTCAACTACACATGCTACATCAAATACACAATGTCAAAAGTGTTTAGAATTTGGTCACTGGGTAATTAACTAGCTTAACTCTTTCTCTTAATAATAATAAATAATCGTTTATCGTTTATGTTGATTATTTATTTTTTCTAATTGGTATTTATTTTCATTTGTTTTAGACATATGAGTGTAAAAATAGTAGAGTTTATAAAGCACGTCCTACAAGAACTCAACAACTATCAAAACCTTTAAAACCAATAGCTGTTGAACTTCCCGAGGAATTTAAATCAAAGTAATTAATTGATTAAAGAGATTCCAGTAATATATATATATATATATGTGTGTATAATTTATATTAATTTTTTATTATTATTAAATAACGTTTTTAGAAAAGATAGAAAAGATGATAATGTTGTTGTTATTTTAGAAAAACCAGCAGCAACTAAAGAATTAAAACGAAAAAGAAAACAAAAGAAAGAAATGTATGTTCTTGCAATAATAATATTATATCATCATCATTATTAATTTATTCATTCACTTATTCATTTAATTATATAGATATAATTGCCAATTAACCATATTTTATTTTTTTTAAATAGATTATCATCATCATCATCATCATCATCATCAAGTGACACCGAAAGCATATCTTCCTCTTCCACCTCATCATCGTCTTCTTCTAGAGGTGCGTCTTATTCTTCTACTGGTTCGTCATCATCATCGAAAAGCTATGATTCAGATAATAGTGGTTCTAGCTCTGATATTAGCAGTAGTGATAGTGGTAATATTAGTGGTAGTAGTCGCGAAAATCATAGTAGTAATAGAAGAAGAAGTGGTGGTAAAAGTAGAAGTCGTCATCATTATCGTCATAATCATGATAGTAGTAATCGAGTTGATAAAAGGATGAAGGAGGATAAGGGCGTGGATGATATTAGAATTGGTGGTGGTGATGTTAGAACTCGCGACGATAAAAAAATTCCTGCCGCTGCTGCGGTTGATAGAAGAAAATATTTTGATGATATTGATAAAAGATTTGACGGTAGAGGTAGTGGATATGATAGAAAATATGATGGTGGTAGAAGAATAGGTGATAAAACATACGATGATAAAAGTCACCATGATGATAGAAGCGATGAATATGATAGAAGATATGATGGTGATAGAAGAATGGGTGGTAAAACATACGATGATAAAAGTCGTGATGATAGAAGTGGTAGAAGATATGATGGTGATAGAAGAACGGGTGATAAAACATACGATGATAAAAGTCGTGATGATAAAGATGGTAAAAGATATGACGATGATGGAAGAATTAGTGATAAAACATACAATGATAGAAGTCGTAACGATAGAGGTGGTGGATATGATAGAAGATATGATGGTGATAGAAGAATTGGTGATAGAAAATACGATGATAGAAGTCATCGTGATGATAGAAGACATTATAATTTGACGAAAAATTACTAAAATTAATTACTATTATTATTGAATTAATTTGTATTAATGTTTTTCGATAGCATTAATCATTTATAACATGCATTTCATCAATGAATTTTCATTCTTCCTTTATAAGTTTGTTTCACAAGATGAATAATCAATCATATTGCTGCACCACGTTCTGGAATTTTCAAATCCAAAATAATTAGTTCCCTTTTTTGATTTTGATTTTTCTCTTTATCCAACCAAATTTATTCTCCTTTTGTAACTATGGTCTTTTTGGCCTCATAGTGGCTTAATCTTTATTCTACTAATCGTTTAGGCTTAGTGACATTAAATAAATCATTTGGATTAATAAACTATCCGAATTTTTTGGATCAAATACAATCACAAGTTGATTCACATTGCAAATTTTTGTCGACTGTTACAAGTGGTCATCAAGATATTCTAATAAAAGTACTCGTATCCGTTCATTATCAATTTATCTCCTTTTAATTCAAAAGTTTGATTTTATAACATTGGTTGAAACATTCTATTTGATAAACTTTACTCTTTAGGTCTCCAATGCTTCATCAGAATCATCAATATTGAAACAGTGTTTATCCTTTTCATTGGAAAGTTTTTAACTGATTTGTGTAATTTTAATCTTTCTTCTGGCATTGGCATTAAGGCTCTTATTGATTGTGCCACTGACTTAGCATAGTTATGCTTACATGTTGATGGAAAAGTGCACTTAGAACAACTAAAACATCTCTCTGAATTTCAAAATTCCATCCCTTATTCCAATTCATATAAATGTGAAAACTTTGAAAATGTCATTTTGATCATAGAATAAATTACGTTGATTCATATTAAAGTTATTCTGACAACTCCCAAATAAGTAATCTCAAGCTTGTCAAAAAAACTTGACAGCAACCAAATAAAGTAGCCCACAACTTGAAATCATACACAAATATCCTTCAAAGAGGTGCCGTTGACCCAGTATTGGACGAGTAACTTACGGACTACAGTTACAATTTTATTAAATGAAAAACCTGTCTTTTTCTTTATAGAAATTTAAAATTTTTCGATTGATAATTAATTCAGACTCTATTTCATTAATAATTTCATCGATTTTTTTGGTTTATTTTAGCTTTAGCTTTATAATGAAGCAAAGTAAATGAAAAGCTCAGGAAATAATCCATAGGAACATTCACTTTTAAAAGTAAGCCGTTAAAGATTTGCAGTTTGATTTGTTTATCAAACACATGCCATTATCAAATGGTTGATCAAACTCAACCCCTCTAGATAGTGAATTTTGAGGGTGTTCAATGACTACTACTTATGAATTAAGGGAAAGAACAAATGAATGATTTATTAAACTTATGAAGTTTCTGCTTTAAATAGTTTTATTAATATTTCTTTTTCAAATTTTTCCTATTAAAATACCAACCATAAAATATTACACTTGCAGCAATAAATCCAAGAACAAGTCTCACATAAGTACCAGTTTGTTTTCAGACAAAAGACTTTTTTTTTTGCTTCTTGGCTAGAAATCCTAGTCACCTTTAACCGGGAAATTGTGTTCCCCAATAATTGCTTTGAATATGAAAAAATCATGTTATTGACCTTGATGAAGCGAAGATTTTGTATTAAAAAGATTATATAATTCTAGTAGTAAGATATTAATAATTTTTAGTTGAATTTTGTAAACCACTGTAATAATAATGCTTCAGATGGGCAAAGTAAAAAATGAATGTTTTATTGTATTAACATTAAATTCCAGATTATTTTTTTTCCTACGATATAATATGAGAATATGTGGTTAGGGACCTCCCTGAGCTTTTGCATAATAATAATATTACAAGGATTACAACTAGTGACCATCATGTTTGCTAATACGAGACTTTGAAAAACATACGTTACTCAAAAAATATTATTACTACTGTACCACGTTTTGCGCGATTCATGTTACGCGTTTCAAAAATTTAATAAATTGTATATACCAAATGATAAAAGAAAAGGTCTTTGTAGCATTTTATTAAATGAATCATTTGACTAATAAAAACTCTACCAGTTGTAAAAAATTTATAAAAAACTATCATTATGAATTTTTTAATAAATCAACAGATGAACTTAGATAGTTTAAAAAAAGAAAAATATAAACAGAGAGTAAAAGATACTCTTTGCACTAGATGAAAGGTTTGTCATTATTAATGAAGCAATAAAAAACAAAATAATATGCAATGGTTCAAAAAAAATAAAGTTGAAAAATTAACTGATAAGTAATATTCTGGATTACATACAATAAACTTAGTAACATTGGATACTTAACTAAAAGGGGTTTTGATCAACGAATTTGACAAAATTGATGTTATATTAAAATATTATTGTAAGAGGTAAAAATTTACCTGGTACAATTTTTACTATTATTAGATATTTTATATTAGTTAAAAGTAAATTTTGTATGATAATATTAAAGATTTAAAAATTACTTGGGAAGTGAGTAAGTATTATTATTATTTATAAATATTTATAATAATTTTTATTACTAGTATGAATTAGATTCATGAAAAAAATTAACACTCATTATGACTTGCACAGTGGTAATATGGTCAATTTATTAGCACAGGCCAACATTGAAGTACAATAATAAATGAAAAAGATGAAAATTTGGTACCTTGCACCTGAAGTATTATCAAAAAACCATACACTAAAGAATCAGATATTTACAGTCTTGATACAATTATGTGGGAGATCTAGGGTTGCTTGCCAAACCACTTAGTGATTACCAAAACTCTACTGAAACTCTATTATCAGTCAGTTCGTTTGTAGTTGATTAACCACCTAATCTGGTGCACTATCAATTCTTAATACACTACCAACTGCTTTGTAAATTCATGAAACCTGTTTAGAGTATGTTATGAATTTCTGGTATTGGATTAGATTTGTTCCATCCAGCCATATCAGGTGCTGAAGCATGCACAATTATAATAGGTAACATGGGATTAAAGGATATGAAATAATAAATAACAAACTTCAAGATGTAATAATAATATATCTGGTTCATCAATGACAAAATCATCTACATTTGTACCAAGAACAACACCAAACTCCCGCAGCTTCATAACTACATACATACATACATAAGATAATGTTTATATAGCCTAGTGCAAACATTTACATATACCTAATAATGATATCATATAAATTACAGTATCAAAGAAATTTGGTTTACAAAAAAGACAATAAATAATATCTCACTTTCTTTCATCCTCTAATAACCTTCTCTATAATCCATACATTATACTTAAAACATTTGATTTATGAGCAATTGTTACTTTGGTCTTTTGGAATTCCATAATCATCGTTCAATAGGGTATTGTTGACTCAGTGTATCTCAAAGCAATCTTGAATTACATCTTTTCAATGCACATTTCGATGTCTTTTGATCTGCTCATGCCACCTTTAATCCTGCCTTCTCATCGTTTTTTGTCTTTCTTGTTTTATATATTAAATCAATTTCGCCAATCATGTGTGGAAAATCTATTAGCATTAGTGATCTGCAGGATATTTAAGGTTAAAGATTATTTTTGTTGAGTCTAATTTCACAAAACACAAATTGTTTGCGCCTAAGAGCAAAAAATTTTCAATTAATCAAAAATAATCATTCTTAAGATCATATCAATCAGGTGATAATACAAAGATTGAAGCTAGTTAAATAGAAATTATAAACTAAAAGAAAAGAAACAAATTGTCTTCCCTTGACTCTAAAAATATTTGGGCATCATTTGTATTGTTTTTTCGATTGAAATAAATTTAGATTTCCTGTCATGTAAATTTTACACAGATTGGGTAGATTATCATTTTTTTTTTAAAACAAATAATATAATATTAATATATAAATAAAAATGTTAATATCATTTAGATTTTTATTTTTTAAAAATAATAGAGTAATTAATAAGATAATTAAATATAACAATAACAGCAACATTAATATAAAATTAAATTTTATTCATTCAAAAAATGTTGATATACAAAATAAATATTACCCTTACAAAAATAGCAACAGCAGAAACAGCAATAGTAGAATAACCAATTCTTCAAATATATCATTATCAAATGAGCCAACAACAAAAAAAGAAGTTGTAAAATATCCGGAGAAATATAATTTTTTGCAGTTGAGAAATGCAATTCTTTCTAAAAGATTAAAATTGGCCTGGGAAATATATTCTGATAAGAAGAATAGAGAAGGTTTACTTTATGTGGATTATTGTGATTTGATAAAATTGTTAAGATTTGGTGAAAATACATATATGTATGATATTAGAGAAAGATTAAAGCGAATGGAGCAAGTTAAAGATGATGTTATTGAATTGAAGATGGCGCATGATATTGATATTTATGATGTTATTATTAAAACGTATTTGAAAATAGGTGATTTTGAGGGTGTAAAGAAGACTTGGAAATTGGTATTGGAGCAAAATGAAAATTTCCCAAGAGATGTTATACCAAGCAAAGATACATTTAATACAATGATTGAAAGCATTTTACAAGAAGAAGGATCAATAGCATCAGTTTTAACAAAAAATGAGGTGGTGATTGAACATTTAAAGAAGTTTCATGAATTTTGTAGAAAGAAGAAATTTAAGATGAATGAAGATGTTTATATTACATTTATTATTGCGTTTGCAGATTTAGGTGTGGTAGAATACTCTGAGAAATTATTTGATGAATATTTATATGAAAAAGAAAAAATGTCAGTTAAAGAAATTAGTTCCAAAGTTTGTGACGTAATAATAAGTCAATATCTCAGGGATTCGCTTTTTAACTTGAATAGAGCAAATGGATTATATGATAAAATAGTATTTAAAGGTATTAGACCAATGAAAGAAACATTTAATAGACTAATCAAAGCATATTTTGATAGTTCAGAATATAAAAAGGCAGAGAATTTTTATGAGAATGAATATAGGAAACGTAATGCTGGTATTGATGTAACAACTATCAATATTATGATATTGGGATGTTTAAAAGCTATTGAACAACAT